CAATTCTAGGAGCGTCCATCCAAATCGAAATTCGATTGTGTTCACTTCGCTTGGTTTTCGCCGCATGGAGAATTAATAGAGGTTTTCATTGGCGGCACAGGCGCCATCCTCGGCCGCAGGGCATATTTTCTCTCGTGCACGGAAGTGCGTGTAAGTCGTACGGCCCGTTTCGAGGTGCAGTAAATCAACATTTCACCGTTGTCCCGCGAAATTAAGGAAACCCTTGATCTACGGGCCATCCATGTTCGATTCCTGATCTATGGCCTGGACTTTTGTGTGTCCACTCCCGCATTGTCCCGCTTCAATGGATCTCACCACCGTGCCTCGATCCCGTGCTCGTATTCGTTTCTTTCCTATTTTCTCTCCATCTTTTACCTTCGAAACTGTCGAGAGATCTATTCATGTCCCCGATTCGCGTGAAATTGTCACGCAAAAGACATGCTACAATTTCGTGAATAAATTTAAAACGAGTACTACATATAGAATGACATTTTATGGTAAATTATTTTATGGTAAATTATAGTAAATTATTGTATCTTTTCTTCATGTGGATTTGTAATTATACAGGATGGCTTACGAAATATGATTTAGGCATTTTCAGGCATAATAATCAATTCTATACCAATTCTGTACCAATTTTGTTAAAAATAAATATTACATTTATAAATTGAATAGATGACATTTCATGCGCCACATTGTAAAGTTATTATAAATAATAATTGATGTTATATATTACTTTGAAACAAAATTTTTTATTTTTTTTAATTATAGATTACATAGGTAGCTAATATTTGGAAAAGATATTGATATATATATATATATATATACGTAGAGAATAATATTCCATAATTTGGTTATTGTAATTGAAATTAATTTAGATGAAATCTTATAGTGTGTTAGCAAAAAAGAGTCACCCTGTATATGTCTTACACATATTAAAAAATTTTAATTAACGCAATAAAATAATCTAAATTTGCTAGCTATTTGATTAAAAAATAATTTGACTTAAATTTTAATTGGATGAAATTCTCATAAACAATTCATTATATTAACTTTTCAATATACCAAGATATTTATTTATCATTTTATCAAGATTGATGTGATATGTTTTATATGATACATTTAATCGTCTTTTTAACACAAAATGTTTAAATTATATAAATATATATTATATAATATATATATCAAAATTACCTTTCAAAATAAATGTCAAATAGGTAAATAATGTTCAAAAAGATCACACTATGCGTTCAAAATATCAAACGAAAGATTGTTCTCCCAATTATGCGTGTATTAAGTAAGAAATGTATTTCGTATATAGAAATTCAAGCGAAACATTATATGCAAAATTAAATGGCCTTCCCTTATTATTAGCTCAACATACTTTCCCGTATGCAACTTGCATATATACGTCGTAAACATGCAACGTGCATATGTGCATACGCAGGTGCTGCTTTTATCGTGATTTTAACCTTATTTCATAATCCATCGACATTTAAATATGATAATACGTCACAATTGTAACGATAATGATGTTTTATATTTACTATCGAAATTACATTGTCGCTAACACCGATGATGGAAATAACGCTCATTTCAAATGGAAGCATCATTCTGTCGACTGGTAGGCATGAAAGGGAACGAGGGAGAGATAGAGAGAGAGATGGAGAGAGCTGCAATAATAAATGGCGCTCCATTAGTCCCACTTTATTGAAAACCGTGGGCCACGTTTTAACCACCAGACGGTGGGTGAACCATGACGCGTGACGTCATCATCGGAGATCCTTTAATGCTGGCATCTTTTTCATGCTGCGCCTTTTCTGCATTCACCCGGGCCATATTTCAACAAATCTTTTCCCTACGAAATCGGATCTTGCCAACTATTTACTACTGGATAAAATCAAATTCGAAGGATTTTGCGAAATTTCGTTGAAAGCAAACCGATTCTAAAACCGCTTTCGTGTAAGATCCCTTTTGGTGAAATTACGTGATATTTGATCTTTCTTGATTCACAGGAAAGATTTCAGTCTTTTTAATCCTTTTGAGCTGTATGAATGCGATGCTCGCTGAAAAATTCAGCAGACAAGAAAAATGCATGGATAATTTAATCAACTAAGAAACCTACAGCGTAGATGAAAAGAACTGTGTCAAGCAAGACGTTTCATGAAACTCTGCCTTAACAATATTTATTAATGGCGAAGAAACCTTTCTTATGATCACAGAAAAGACGTTCAAGTATCGAATTATTCATTTAAAATTATTAGCGTGTAAAAAGGATTTAATCACGAATTTATAAATATTTATCAACAATATATATATATAGATCAAAATTTTGCATATATATATATATATATA